GATTGGGAATTGAATGCTAACTGCTTATGGGGATTGTTTCTTTAAATGCATTATTTCCTGTTTCGGTAATTAAAATGTATGCTTCATCCTGTACCTAAGCTAATGGAAAAGAAGAATAACTTTTTCCCCTTGCGCTTGCCACATGCCTGTTTGGTAAGCAAGCCAAGTCTCTTAGGTAGAATGGGATAGACACTTCAGTGTGTCTGAGCCAGTATTTGCTGTTTGAGTATTCCAGGCTTTCAGAGTTTATAGTCTAAAAGTTGAATTAATCCATTTGGAAAGTCCACCTGAAACACAGCTTGGGCAGCATGCAAACCAGGGGCTCGTCCTGGCAGTTTCTTCAAGGCAAGCTGAATCTTAAGCTGTACTGTCATCTAAAAAGCAGTGATTCGTAAGATCTGTTAAATAAGTCTAAGATTTTCCTGAAATCCAAAGTACCGATGAATGCTTCACTCTTTTGGCTTGTTTGTTAAAGATAATAGCAGGAAGATTTGGAAGTAGTAATTTGAATCTTGAAATACTCTTAATAGAATCTGCTGCCATGGAAAGTGGGACCAAGAGAGGGTAGTCTACCTTCCATCTCCTCAGCACACTTGATATGGATAATTAAATACACAGTGTGATTAAAAAAAAAAGACATAAGTTGAGCACCTGAATGATGGATACACCATAATCAGAGTTTCTGAAGAAAACGTAGAGAAGTGGCATCTAAGCAGCTACTTCCATGGGTTTCCTACTTTGAGGATACTAACTAAGCCCTTGAGGACGTTTTTTGTTCAGTGACCTGTGTCACCCTGCAGGATTTTTGATCCTCATTGTAAGTTTGTGTATCGTTCATATGTCGATGAATTTCTGTAACACAGCTGAGGCAAGGGAAGATGCTTAACCCCGTCCTACTGAGGGGAAAATGGGTCAGGTAGTTTTCCTTCTAATTATGGCGCTAATTGGGAAAGGGGAATGTCATATCAAGTGAACTCCATTTATTTTGGTAGTACTGTTCTTAAAAGCAAAACTGAAACAGATGTATAGCTTTACAGAATATTTAATAAATTGGAACCTAGAAAACTAGTAGTATACAATGAGATCCAGAGAAATTCTGGCTCAAGCAATTTCATTAACGTTGCATAGCTATGACAGCTTATCTTGGGCTGTATAAATTCATTTGACTGAGGACCTGTCTTTCAGTTTCCTGAGCAGTTGAGGCAAGGGTATTACAGAGACCAGTGGTGCCAGATCAGTGTGGTTTGCTTTCTGTGATTAGGATGAGTTCTGTGGCTTTTCTTTTTTTTCTTACTCTTTTTTTGTTGTGTTTTGGTTTTTTTTTTTTTCTTTTTTGTTTGTTGGATTATTTTTGTTGTTTCCTTGAAAGAAGAATGAAGGGTGCAGTTAGGCTGTCCCAACCATACTAAGTATACATAGGTCCATGCACAGGAGATGCTGATGCTAACCCATAGCATTAGCTGTAGTTGCCACCTCTATCAACCTGTATGGCTCACTGAAAGCTACCTTTGCCTGCAGATGTGGAATCTGTTCCTTAAATATGACCTGGCAAATAACAAGGGGTGAGCCAGAATCTGGAGTCCCATTTCCAGATACGAATGCATATGTGCTAAGGGGTTGGGGCTTTTTGCATGGACTTTGATTTCTTGCATCTTCCTGTGTTCGCACCTTCCCTTTCAAGTGCCTCTCTAGTCGTTGTCTTAGTTCTTTTTTTTTTCTTGTTTTGCCTTTTTTTAATCTAGTTTGTCTTATACTTAAGGTTTTCAGGCTGTGTGTGGTCTTCCCTTCCGGGCTTGATGTCAGTTCTAGCTTGCTTACTGAGCTAATCCAAAGTTTTTTCTTGCTAGCTCCATATAGGATCTTCCTTTCTCTACTGGCTCATGTCTTCCTGGGCTCCTCATATTTCTTTCTACCTTTACCTTTCTCTACCTCCTTTTCTTGCTTTCTTTGCCTATCTATTTCATAGTTTGCACCCCAGTTCACTTAAACAGGCCGCATGAGACAAATAAGACAACTTTATCTGTCCTTCCTTCCCAAAATCAGGCTGTATGGGCTATAACGTGGCATTGCTTAGACGTCATTGACAGGGCCCAAAAACCATGTTCTTTATTTTGTCTCCCAAAGTCTTGCTCTGCCCTGAGCTGGGGAAGCCTGTAATGAGGAGAGACTGTATTAATCTCTGCTCAAATGTATGTAACTTCTGTAGGGGTGCTGATGCTAGAAAGTACTGAGAGGCTAATGTGGGGTCGCAGTAATACGAGCGATACAGGCAGTTGTCATCCCTACCCCGTGCCCTTGGTTTCCTGGAAAATAGTAGGATTAGATAGATATGAAAGGATTGGTGGCTAACTTCCAACTAATCTTCATGTAGACATACTGCAAATGTTCAAAGACTTTGAATAGGTTATCATACAGCATAAAACACGTTTATGCCTTAGAGGTCTCCCGGCTCTATTACCAGGCTTAAAGTGCCTGCTTCGCTGCATGGAGCATCAGTGACTTTTCATATAGAAGGTTGGTATGTATGGAGGTCGTGAACCATCCTACTGTGAGGAAATGCACACGTTTAGGGCTAGAAAGAAACTGTCTGGAAAAGCTATCACATATCTAAATAATACTAGATTCCTGTGTTGGGGTGTTTTGTTTGTTTGTTTAAAATGCTTTTGCTTTTGGTTATTGTCTTGATGAATGCCTGCTCTGATGTGGTTCAGGAAATCCTGTGTTCTTGAGCTTAGAAAGCTTGTTTCTATTCAGAAGACTTGCTAATGATGACAGCTTGGTTGAACCTGGACTGCTGGAGTGGACTGTGGAAAATATGGCCAGAGGGTGAAAAGTGACGAGATGCCATCTGTCTGCTGAGCCACAGTAGCAGGCATTAGTCTCATAAGCTGCATCTACATGTCCTTACAGTCATGATCTGCTAAGGATCAGCTGCAGTCGGTACGGAAGAGTTAGTTCTTCAGACTTTGTGTGAGACGCTGAGGATCGGGGATGAGGGA